CGGCTTTGGCACTAGCCTCTTAATTTATTTTCTATGTACACATTGTGTTGTTGTTTATTCTTTCAACAGTATTTTTACTTTTTTGATAGCGAAAAAGAAAAATATTCCAACAATGTTGCTTTTCATTATCTGTCTATGAACGGAACTAGCCAAAAACTAGATTAAAATTAGATTAAATAAAGTGGAAGGAGGAGTTAGTGCTCTTCAATTAGATACGTTAAAGCTAATGTTAATACTGAAAATATTGAAAAGTGGGATACCCAATAACTTAAGCATGTTTCTAGACAAACGTGGTCATAGGTATAACAGGCGTTCTGGTGTTTTTTCTACGAGCGCTGGTAGACAAGTAATACAAGGGGTAATACATGGCCCCTTACCGTCATATATTCCACAACCATATTAGAACAGATATTAATCAAAATAATTTTAAACGTAGATTTTTTTTGTTGAATGTGATGAATTTTATTATGAAACAGCATTGTATAGTCAGCCAAATTTCAATAAATTAATACAATTTTTGTTGTTGTCTCTTCATTACTATTCGAACCCTTCTAATTCTGATTTAATTCTTTGTACCATTTTAGAGGTTCCATATTTTAAATAACACGGCCAAGACGCGTTTTACCTGACTCTTAAGTAAGTATGAGCCCGGTTGCCTGTTGCAGAAAATAGTCACAAATCTAACAATAAGCCTTGCTGTATTGGCTGTTAAAATTTTCAATGATTATATTCATTATGTGAAAAATTAGATTTAAGTCCCTGTTAGGAAAGAACAAAATTATTTTTCGAATAACCCAATACATTACGTTTTATAAAAATGATGTAATTTTATTTATACATTAAGACTGAAAAGTTTTCGGAAATTCTCATTTAAAATTCGCGCGCTGTATATTTTTCGATATTTTAAGTTTATGTAGTTTGGCAGCACTGTCCTTAATTACTATGCCAAAAATGAGCTCGATCTGTCAGACAGTTCGTTTACGGCAGCTGTTGAAACCAGTTCACCTCAGTAGTGCGTTGCGAAATGTCTTCGACGGTCGTACGACCGTCCTGGAAGGCTTTGTACCACTCATAAACTTGAGTTTTCGATAAAACTGATTCCCCATAAGCCTTTTGTAGCATTCGCAACGATTCTGCACACGAAATTTCGTTCGAAACACAAAATTTGATGCAAACTCTTTGTTCAATATTTTTTTCCATTGTTTTTTTCGCAACGCCCTACTGAGGTGAACTGGTTTCAACAGCTGCCGTAAACGAACTGTCTGACAGATCGCGCTCATTTTTGGCATAGTAATTAAGGACAGTGCTGCCAAACTACATAAACTTAAAATATCGGAAAATATACAGCGCGCGAATTTTAAATGAGAATTTCCGAAAACTTTTCGGTCTTAATGTATATAAAAGAAAAACTAAAAAAAAGTTTATCATAAATTTGAACTACAAGTAAAATGTGATGCAATGAAAAATCTCAGAATTTGAAATTGTGGAGAATTTTCACAAATTACGTGCCTAGGATAATCGTAAAATTGTTAACTCATTTTGGTTTCCGAGTGCATGTGTGGCCTGTATGCGTAAGATTACAACCGCTTAGTTAGCACATTTACATTACAAGTATCTTACTTATATTACACAATGCTTTAGTAAAGCAATTTACATATGTAGAGAAGTGGCTACATAAATTCATGTTATTCGGAATAAGTCTGTCGGTCTGTCCAGAATCATGAATGGTGTCTATCTGTCTGCCCATCAAATACGTACGCTGCATAATAAATGCGTTTCAGTGCGTCTATATGTGTTGCTTTCAGTGCACTTCAATTTTTACAGAATCACTAGATGCACAGAATGATAACATAAGAAATTTATTCAAATACTCCAAAGCTATCTTATTTTTGCATTTTCAGGAGCATTCATAATGTGCCACGTATCGGGAGATACAGCTGAACTCGCAACACGAAGTCACTCTCATATTAAAAAACCACTCATCATATTTTTTATTGTTATGATTTTAATATCGTATAAGAAATTGTGCTGGATTGTGATTTTATTTTATTTAATATTTTTTTCTTGTATTTTTTTCCAAGAACCTACAAGTGCACGTAAGTAAGAATTCCTTTGAAATCGGGACTAACATTCTGCTGGTGCTGCACCAAGTGCTAGAAAGTATATACATCTACATATAATAAGCTGAAACTGATGCTGTTGATGAGTATGAAAATGTATCTGCAGGCGCATTATGAATAATAAATACTGATTATATTTTGTGAACTATAGATATATATATATATGTATATATATACGGGTATGTAGTTTATTTTTTAAAACTATTTTATTACATATATTTATGTGTTGTATTGTTCGCAATTATTACTATTGTATTTTGAAATCAAGTAAATTACTTCCAACACCACAAAAATATAAAATTTTTCAATCAAATCAAAATTTTAATATCGCAGAAGTGGTACTTGTAAATAATGTAAATTTCGAAGGAATAGGTTTAAAATTTTTACTAAGTATATTTTCATATCCTTGTAGCATTTACACTTGAACCTAATAATAAAATATAATTACAATTGTGTTCATTTCTTATATGCTTTTGTTATTTATTATAGCTGAAATTTATTATTTCCATATAATATTTATGCTATATTTTTTTCATTTTTCTTTTGTTCCTTTTTATTTTTCTAGCCATAAAAATATCGAAATACATTTTGCCTTAAAAGCTTGTTTAAGTTCTAAAAATTGTGCACTTTTCTGGGTTACGAGAAATCCTCCTAGTGTCGGGAATGGTTCAGTGTTTGCAAAAATAATGTTGTAAAAATATATATTGTGGCACTTCGAATTTTATTTTTCTTTTATTTTTAACACTGAAACGTGTTTCGCATTTTAAATTTTTATTTTTGAACATTGACCTTTTATACTATAAAGTTTGTTATTAAAAAATAGAAATCAAAAAAATAAAACAGAATTGTGTTAATTTAAGTTTCTTTATAGTTCTATATAAAAAAATGGAAATGATTATTATATTTACTTTCAAAAAATATTTAATATATTAAGATAAACATATGTGCCGTACACACCTGATTAAATCATATAGAGAACAGGGTTTAGAGATTAAAAAAAAACTTTCAATATATAATAAGAATACTTAATTTTTAATTTTATTTTAATAAAATTTAAAGATTGAATAAAAATCATCTTCACTAAAAGTCAGGTACTATACTCAAAAAAATATGCCCTAACCACATAATAATAATAATAATAATAATAATAATAATAATAATAATAAAAGAGTAGACGTGAAAATTGCACAACAGCCGGTACTGCGGCCAGAAGAGACCTATTGTACCAGTTTCACTATTGATTAAACAAAGCCCCTTAGAGCTTTGTGAATAAAGTCTAGAACTGAATCTAGAGAAGAGTTCTTAATCTACTCTGCTGACAGAAATTCTTTATGATATAGGTTTCTTCTGTGCGTTATTATCGCTGGACAGTCACAAAGAATGTGCATGGTCGTTTCCTCATCTTCGAGGCATAATCTGCATTCTGAGTTAGCAGATAATTGTAGTTTATGAAGGTGATATTTCAGACCATAGTGTTATCAGTGCTTTGCTTAGTCTGAGTCCTAGAAAGTTTACTCAGTACTTCAGCCGCATATGATTTTCCATTTCCTTGATAATCTGTTTTGTACTGGCCCAGTTTATTCCACAAAAGGGTTGAGGGCCTATAAAAGCAGTTTTAGATGCAGTTCTGGCTAGCTCATCAGCTTTTTCATTTCCCAAAACTCCTTTGTGGCCCGGAACTGCCCTAACCACATACTGGTTAAATTGATCTAATCAATATGGTAGAGAAATTTTATCTCATGTAGAGAGTTATAAGAAGATATAAAAACCAACAGGTGGTATGGTTGAACCAATGTGATGCGGAGTAGCTAAGGTTCTACACTTGCATATACTTTTTGTTGTATATTTGAAAGTTTTCTTGTTAAACTATTGAAGCCTATTGCTGATTGAAAAATTTTCTATGTTACATTTATGTGGATAGTTTTTTTCAATATAGGCATTGATCTGTATCCGTATTTCACATACATTAAATAAAGATGTTATCTTATCCAGAAGAGCATACATCTATATTATATGATATCATATAGGTAATTTTTATTCGTGGGTAGTAGGTCTGTATAACCCGTATTTGCAAAATTATCATTTTATAATTTTTGTTGGCGTTGGGATACCTGTAGTATAAAAGATGCATAGAGAAGAAATAGTCACGCTTCTTTAAGGTACCTCGCCTTAGCAAAATTTATGCTTAATTTACTGGTTTTAATATATTTTATCTATACATCAATGGGTTCGGAGATAATCTCGCAAGGACTAGATCAGCCACTTTATTTTATGAGATTGCTAGATTGGGAGTTTTTACAGTCAACCGAATTAAGAATATACTTCATAGCTGATATTTTGATTTTTATTCGAAAAGTGGAGTATACATTATACAAAGCTATATAAAAGATTTATAATATTCGCAGTGTTTCGCTTTCTGGGAGTCACCACCATGTTGATTTTGCATTTTTCTATTCTTTTATATTTCTGTATTTGTATTTGTTTGTATTTTGTATATATTTTTAATATTTTTCTTATACTTAAGAAATTTATTAATTGTTGCTAGAAGTTTTATGGCAAGTAGTTCGTAATACCAGGCACTATGAAATACACAGAGGTGTTTTCCAACGCAGATTTTCTTATTTTCATTACCATTAGATTTATAATGAATTGATTTGGAATTTGCTCAAGAGTACGTATTATGATTTAAACCAGTGAAAAGAGGCATCTTCTGTAATTCAGTGGTTATTGGAGAGTTTTTATTTATTTCCGTTGAAAAAGTAAAATGTTTCTCTATTTAATAAAAGCAATTATTTATTTATATATTGAAATTGTACAAAATTATGAGCTAATAAATTAATTTTTTACTGCTTCTCAATATATTAAGAAAAATAAGCAATAAACTTTTTAATTAGTTTATTAAAATTAATTTTTTTATTGAAGTAAAAAATTTCTTAAATACAATTATTTTTCTCCACATTAAGTAATTTACTTAAGTACGTCCTGTACGTTCTTGCATGTCCACCTCTGACATTTCAATAAAGTAACTGCAAAATAAAGGATTTAATTAATATTTTTTTATTTATTATTTAAAAGAACTCGTATCTCTTGTGTTTGGTACTTACGTTCGCATTGTGCACGCATCAATTGACAACGTGTAATGTTCTTCCAGGTAGTGCCGATGGTATTACGGCAATGCTTGTTCACTTCATCAACTCCGCGTTCAGAGGTGTTTCCAGGCTGGCAACTTCTCCTGTCATTGCAACGCTGTGTTAAGCGTTTACATAAGTCCTTGTCGGTGATTCTTTGCCCATTGCAAGCAAGGACAATGAAAGCTAATTTAAAATAAAGGATAATAAAAATATTAAATTTATTAAGAACAATAAAGGAAAAGTCATAAATTCGACAAAAATGAAAAATAAGTGCTGAAAACCTACCAAAAATGAAAATGACAATTTTTAAATGCATATTCTCAGACAGGCTATTTCCACACAATATACTTTCAGCACGATTTTTGATGTATTTATACGCACATAAATCAGGAAATTTACTTTTATAGGTCACAGTTGTTTAATTTTTATTTATTTTATTTTATTTATTGTACGGAAAATATGTTATGAATTCATTTCATATGCAGATTGATTATGAATAAATGAAGTAATTTACTCACTTACAGATCAGTGAAAATAAATACTCAAAATTACTTCCATGGAATAAATGGAAAACTTAAAAAAATCTTTTTTTAATGAATATATTTCGCATAAAATATAATTTATATTTAGTATTATATTCCTTAATTTATTAATAAAATTTAACAATGTTAATATTTGCATATAAATCATTTATAAAAATTATGTGCACATTGGGAAATATAATTAAAATAAATTTACTTATTAAATGTCGATTTGTTAATGATGTAGGAAGCATACGTTTTTAATCAACTATAACTTCAGTATGTTATATCTAGAGCTATTAAATAAAACATAAAAAATTATTAATCAATTAAGGTTTTTTCTTTAACTTTAAAGTGGGCTTCATCGAGAGCAATACAATTATGTTAGTGCTTGTACCCATATTCTTAGACTAACTAATATATGGAGTTTAATTCTAGCGAAATATATCCACAATTGTCTCGAAACGTTGTCTTTGATACAGTAATTCTAGCTATGCTAAGTGTTCAGATTTTACCTTAATCAGTTAAATTAGGTATTATATATTTTCCCACCTCTAATGTAGTCTTCATAGGTGGAATACAACTGTCCAGCGCTTACGGTAGTAAAGTATGACGTTTAATTCCTTATGCCATAAATTAATTATAGCTGCAGTCGGCACGAACCATATTCTCCGAGAAAAAGTTATAAAAATAATAGTAAAAGTGGGTAAAATTCGTTGGGGTTTTGGTTAAAAAATCTTACTAAACGCTAAATATTCTATGCCCGTATTGCAAATTATAAATCCTGAAGATATTTGACAGGTAATGTATATAGACGTTTTATTCAGTCTCGTAGACATTCTTTACTATAATACACATTATTTATAATACATATCTTTCATTTTCTCCGATTTTCAGAATAATCATTTATATATGCAAAAAAGAAAACAAAATTTTCATTTCAAAGTCGATATCAATAATACAAGATTTGAAATTATAAATATAAGACACATTTCGCACCCAATATATATTGACATATATACCATTTTCATAAATATTCTTCATAGTTATTAATTTCGCAGGGAAATAATAATTTATTTATAATTTATAACAAGTTATACTTTTTATATTTTATGTTATAACTCATTATACATTATTTTTACATAATTGATGTGAGGTGGTCTTTTCTTAAACATCTGGTGTGTCCATAATTTTATTCGATGCTGACAAGAACCAAGTGGTGTACCCACACTTTTTTTTCTCAGAAGAATTTGTGCGCTCGTACCATGTCTTGCTAGTTCATCTGCTGTATAGTTAGCTTGAAGGTCCCTATGTTTAGGAACCCAAATTATCCGTATTCAAAAATATTCAGCCATCACCATAAGTTATGTAAGACAATTCATTACTAAACTCGAGTTGATGGCCGATGAGTTTAAAAATTTTATAGCTGCCTGTGTCCAGGGACCCAAATAATCCGTATTCAAAAATATTCAGCCATCACCTTGAGTGATGTAAGACAATTCAGTACTAACCTCGAGTTAATGACCGATGAGTTTGAAGATTTTATAGCTGCCTGGCTATCAGTAAATATGTTTATAATATTAACGGAGGTAACATTGTGTTTCAGCCAATCTAAAACTTCCAATATAGCAGATACTTCAGCTTGGAAAACGCTATAGTGATCTGATAGCTGGTAGCTCAGACTAAGATCTAATTCAGAGCAGTATACTTCTCCTACTACTTGTTCAGTTGCGTAAAACTTAGATAGTTCCTAAATAATTTCTTTTCTGCTTATGTACACTGAAGAGGGTCCACAAAGTAGATTGAAATATTTGTATTATAAATATTTTTTTAAAAATATAATTAAATTAAGTGTAATTTTTTTATTATTTCTATGTGTGAATAAACGACCTAAGCTGGGTGATAATCAAAAAACTTGCATAAAACTTAAATACAATTAATGCAGAAATTATGAGAAAAAGTTCTTAATAAAATATGTGTGTTTTTATATGAAAATATAATTTATATTCACGTATTTAGAGTAGCTATTCACGATACAATGCAAGAGTTTCAATAATTATTTAAAGAATTTTACAATAATTCCTTTGTATGCAAAGTATATCAGAATGGAATGCAATGTAAAATACTGCAGTTCGTAAAAATTCATATTCGTATTGCTGCAATACAGAAATATTCGGAACTTTTGTAATTAAATTCTTTTTCAAGATATAAAATTTTAGTAATTTCTCATTTCATATCTGAAGTTAAAGAAATGTGGTTTACAAAATTTCTCGCACTTATTTTAGGTATTTTTGATCACACATATTTAAATAAATTTTAATTGAATAATATATGAAAACAATAAAATTAAAATTAAAATGAATAATATATGAATTGTATTTAAAGTATTTTTCATTATAAATATTTTCGAGCCACTACTACCCCAAGTCGCTGGTGATAGACAATTGGATGAGGATTGCAAAACCCTAAGGGTGCGATGTGGATATTGCATAAACAATCTAAAGTTTGAACCGAGTGATTACATACTGATTAACGATTTAAATCAGAAATGTCGAATGGATGTTGGACGCAAATATGTCTGGAGGAACCTTAATTCCTGCGATATGGTGTATTTACGTTGCAAGGGTATGTGGAATTTCAGTCTCAGTAAAAACTACTGCGGATGTTTTTAATAAAATAAATGATTTCATGTTTTTTCTTAGGAGTTAAAAATAAAATCGATTGCAGCGTTCTGGCAGATTTGGCTAAGATGAGAAAGCGTTTACATTAATTTTTGTTTTCAATCAAAATAATTTTTATAATAATTTATTGAGGAAAAAATAAAAAATAAAATATATTGCAAAATCATTTAAAATCCTTTCAAATTTGTTTGAAGTGTACTTCGAGTACTTAACGCCTAAGCTTCATTTCAAGCTTTACGATTATTATTTCTGAGGAAAGAGATGTGCAAAGAATTAAAAAAAAATTATATTTTTTTTGTTATTAAATAAAAGATTATTTGAAATACTTTAAACGTACTCATAGTGTAAGTAAGTGCGTGTGGCGTTAAGTGCGTGGGGACGTGATGTGCAACTTAAAAATGCATTTAAAGCACTTTAAACTTGTGCTGCGATTCATTTGAAACTGTTCAGATACTTGACCACTGAACCACTTTATTCTCAAATGTTTTGTGAGTGGAGTTGAAGCGCCATACTTACTCTTATAAACGTACTCCTTTCATGAGTTGCGTTTTTATTACAGACATCAGTGTAAATGACAGTTAAGTAGCGATTTTCAGATTTTATATTTATGAAGTTGTTATAAGCATTGAGTGCGATAAAAATTTTTATAAGTTTTCTTAGATAGGTTAAATTTTAAAAATTGAGAAGTTAGGAACAAACTGCTTTTGTGAAAGAAATTTGTTTTTTCTCGTACAAATTTTAGTGTTATATTGCCTAATACTAAAAGAAAATGTTAGATCTTTTATTTTTAAATCCATTTTTTAATAGAGTTCTAAAAACGGTTCAGATTGTTAAAAACTTGAGTGAACATTTTTTGTTAGATACAGTAATCACCATTATTAAGGTGTTTTTGATTTTTGTATTGATAAAGCTGCACAAATCTTCTTAAACTATTACAATATCGCTTATTTAAGCATATATTTATTAAACTATATTCAACCGCCATGTCTTCTGCAAGGTTTCCTATAAGCTTCTACAATACGGGGTTTGAAATTTACTGATAGCAATGTACTTTAATTGAGCACTCTCTACTTTAGGTTCTTCAACCAAGTTTCAATAATGCTTTAAAAATTAATTAGCTTAAGGGTCTCATAGGCATAATGAAATTTTTTCTACGAAATTAATAGCGTATTATAACAATTATCTGATTATAGAAAGTATCTTTTATTTTATTTAACTTTAGCTCGATTGGTACATTAAGTTGAATAATGTTCATATGACTGGCTTTGATCGAAGAGAGTTCATATAGTTCGATTCTTAATAGCTTTTCATTAATTCACCCAACCTTTGACTGATTAGTACACCTACCTCTTCACAACGTATGCCATTTTCATCTATGATTGAAATAAAACACTTTTTTCTAGTGCAGTGGTTTTCAATCTGTTTTGACGAATGACCACTATGATATTTTTGTTTTATTAGGAACCAAAAAGTCTAAGGATAATAAACTGTATGATTATTTTAATATGCTTTACGCATCTCTGGGATAATGTATAATGGATTGAGTAAGTGCATAGGTACATTATATAGGCTATAAAACAGGTACATCATTAATTGGATAATTAATTAATTAATAATTGGATAAATAATTATGTGCTTATTTTCTAATAATTGAGATTTCAGTGGACAAACTGCAAGCAAAATTTGATTTACGAACCATTTTTAACCGTCTCGTTGGAAAGCACTGCTCAAGTATTTAGTATAATCTCTTTAGCAGTATATCATATACCTAGTATCTATGCCTAGTATTCTCCACTTTGCTTTTTTTTTTTTTGGTCACGAATAACCAATTTTAATATCACTAGTTATCTTAAAGAGTAGTGACTTTTTAGTTGTTCTGGATTCATATTTCCCATATTTATCTATATTTTATTTCATATCATAATCCGGCTTAATCTAAGTGCAATGTTAAAAAGTTATTTTAAGTAAAAATAGATCTTTCGTTTACTATTAACTTTTTTTATTGAAATACGCTAATGTGGGTATTACTGATTTTCTTTCTATTAATATCGGGTCCATACTTGAATTTGAAAGTATTAAAGTAGAATGTGTTCTATTTGCAGAGACTTCTGTTGAAACTGTTATAAAGAAAGTGAGATGAAAACTTTAAAACTCTTATTATGTATGTCCAGATTACCAAAGTTAAAGAGTAGAGTAGAGTTAAATTCGACGTTAGAAACATTTAGTTCAATTGGTGCAGTTACCTGTCTATATTAACCTTATTTGGCATCACAACTGGCAGCAGGTTTCAATAATTATGGGCAACTCTTATCTTATCTATTAGCAATATTTGTTTATTGGACATAAACTGCAATTTAATTTTAATATAACTTTTTGTTGGACATAAACTGAAATTTAATATCAGAATTTCCTTTTAAAATAATTATTTTAAATTTGTATAAATAATAAATAAGTACAATATTTTTTTAAGTATTATGATTAATGATATGTCATATAGAATATATTATGATATAGTAAACATTAGCAGTTTGGTATATTTAGACATAGGTATGTTCCCGATATTTCAAACCTTCGATAATAACACTAGCTTCTAATATACAACCTGAAGTATATGTACAAAATATGAATATTTTTTAATATTATCTCTTATATTTTATAAATCAATTTTTTTTATTAATAAAAATGGAAAACTATATTTTCATATTTTGATAATTTTTTTTATTTAAATAAAATTTTATTTTTACATTTTATTAATTCACTTTTTGAATATTTTTGCAAATAATTTTCGAGCATTTAAGAATTGTTACTGAAATGAATTTAAAAAAGAAGAAGAAAAATATTTATTTTCATTAATGAAATCATACAATAAAAATTTTTATATTACATTGGCATTGAGCACGCATCCACTGGCATCGAGTTATATTTTTCCAGGAAGGTCCAATCAAATTGGTGCATCGCATATTCAATAAATTTACACCTTCATCGGTGGTTCCCAATTTCATTTCTCCAGCGATGCAGCGTTGGTTCATTCGATTGCATAACCGAATATCGCTGGTATTTCCATGAATTTCAACCAGAGTAAAAGCTTTAAGAGAAAAATTGGATTTACGTTTTTATATACTTGAAGGAATTATAAGGAAAAATTTACCCAAAAACACAAAACCGAGAATCTTAAAGAACGTGTGCATTTCGTTTTATTGGTTGCATACAAATGAAAGCAATAAAACTCTTGGAAGTTAAATTCGTAATATAATTTAATTAAATTATAAAAAAAAAAAAATAAATAAATTTTAAATAATATATGATTTTTGTTGTTACAAGTGTTTTTCTTTCTTATTAATTTTTAAAATATTTTTGGGTATTGCTTCCATTATGGTGCACATATACCGGGTTTCACTATTAATTCCCTATAATACATTATTAAATTCGAACTGCGATTTACATATATATTATTAAATAATAATTAAAAGTTATTTAAACAGTTTTTTTCTGCAGATATTTAATATAAATGGTATTGTAGATAAGAATAGTTACACATAATTGTCACAATATAACTTCCTTCACTAATATAATGGATTGTATACAATATAGTATATATTGGATAATGCTACATCCATATTTTTTGTTAAACTTATTGCATAAAATTCTTTCCTACATATTTATTTCTTGATTTTCTATATGATTAAATGACGTATTCTTAAAGGTATTTAATATCATCTTTTATTTAAAAATAGTTTTATAAATATATTCACAATATTACGAAAAAAGACATCTGGTTTGCAATTAAACCTTTTAAAAATACTTTAGTCTCCCAACATTTTACACTGTAATCCTTTAGATTTTCATAATTTTTTATATAAACTATTGCTTAAAAAAATGAATATAAATAGCAACCCACACTTTGACCCTCTGCTGTGAATTGCAGGGTAACTTTCACATACATAAGCCTCGATAAAAAGCCAAAGGAAAACTTACACCCCTGATTTTGAAATGACTAATCCGCATGTAATATTCGCTAAGTAAACACAATACCACTGGAATAACCGAAATGTAAACATTACTCAATGTCATCATAAAATTGTTTTGGAATTTTTGAAATTTTCATTCCGACATTAATGACTTGAAAAACGAAACTCAAAAATGTTTCTTTAAATATTTTTAATGAAAAATATTTTCATACTTTAAATGACTATAGAGCAGGAGCTGGAGAATTGCAGCACTTGTCGCATTTCATTACAATCAACTGCTGCATGCAACCCCATAGTTGACGGCTGTCTTTCCACAAAATGTTTGGGGTTGACATTAATGGTGGTTCGACCTATTCGTTTTAAAGGGAAATTTTGTCACAGACGGTAGCGTGAAATTTCGGAACGAATCTTTTAGAATTTGTAAATTTTAATGTTTTACGTTGATTTCGGTTGTAAAGTTTGTTTTGTTAAAAATTTATTGGAATTTTGAATCACAAAGCTACGATGGACAGAAACCGCGTTGTGGATGAGTCATATTTAGTATTGGTGAGATACGGGTTAGTAAAAAGTTTTGTGTTAATAAATAATGCTATAATACTTGGTTTAAAATAGTAAAGTTAAATTTATATTAATAAGTATTTGGATATTAGTATATTTATATTAAATATATTAATGAAAATGATTTTATTAAAATATAAAATTTCGAACTAAAATGTAATCAGAGTTAAATCATGATTAATTAGAAATCATGAATTATCTATATTAGCCTATTGTCTATTTAATACCCAAGAAAGTGTAGACACACGGTAACCATTCTAGCGCGAACTAAGTGAAAGATATCATGACGAATTTTTTTTTATATTAAAAGGGAACAACGGTTGGGAATAAAAAACGAGGACCATTCGCTCTTATTAGGTGGATAACGTGTCTTCTATGCAAAAGATATGCACAATATGTAAAATAAATAGAAAAATTATCACACCAACGCCTGTTAGCTATTTAAATACCTATGCTATATCTCAGGAATATTTTAAGGTATCAAAAGTATTTTCTTTCAACTTCTATGATCTCTAATAGACATACATTAAAATTATATTAAAATCGTACGAATGGATTTATAGGCAGACTTTAAGGGGTTCAAAGTTAATTTTTTTCTTTTATGTATTAAT